CCAATGTTTTGTCATTCCAGTGCTTCTTGAGGACGGACTGAACACTGATTAAAGCTTCCATTTCAGTCACAGCTTTAGCTTTAATTGTACAACACCTGAAGCAGTCATACTTGTTGCCACAGTAACCAACTAAAGTGATTTGTAGGAGGCGGATGATCACACTGACCTCCAGCAGCTCAGGAGCAGGGGCGTTGTCAGAGAACAGATCCATGGCCTTCTCGATGATGTCCCCTCGGGTTCGGCCTCCTTGGTAGTCCTCGGGCTCCTCCCCTTTACGGAAAATTTTGATTGTGGGAAATCCGGGGATTAAAAAAAAAAAAAAAACATACAAAAACATTCCTTTAATACCAGTTTCAGCTGTCTGATGTGGGAAACATAAACACAAAAAGGCAAGGCATTGTTAATGCTTAAAAATATAACATCCACGGAGGGGGATTTCAGGACAGACGTTTAAGCCACCAAATATAAAAGGCTAAATCTTAAAAATGCATGCACTATTTGGCTAAATATCTTAGCAGTTTTTTCCTTTATACAAAAAAGAAAAAAACAACAAACTGGAACACAGAAGACATTTTCCTGAGTTTTCTCTTTCCAGTACTCCATTACTCTATACAAGTTTCACCCACTAAGCTTAAACATCCAGTGAATGCTTAACACCAGATATTATATCAAAGCATTCCATTACGTTTGTGATTTTTCACACACCTAGTTTCCAATGATGCATTTAAAATATTTTGCAGCTCTAAATCACCAAAACGTCTGCAGTTGATCACTGAACAGCCAAGGCTTTGATTTTAGATGCTGAAATATTTAAAGCAGAACACCACAGTCTCCCCTCTGCTTTTCCTTATAGATGTGAAACTCGAGCAATCCCTCATTAAGCAGCTTTATAAAGATATTTAACCTCAGCATCCAACTTTGGAGAAAAGATGCAAACCAGGTAACCGTTTTCTCACACCGACATTTTGTTTTTCCCAAGCAGACCAAAGCTCTGTGTATGTAAAGCTAAAACCACTGGAAATGAGATGCACTGGTAGAGAATACACAGCCCAGTTTTGCACAGATATCAGGGTTATTTTGCATTTGGAGAAATGATGACACGGCGTTGAGTTTTTAACTCACCCCGTAGCGGCTGGACACAACCTGATGTACGGTAGCGTCCACAGCCCCAAGGCGAACTTTGCCCTTGGTCTGCTCCTTAACAGCTGTGGCTGCAGCTGCCCACTCCGGCTCCAGGCTGTGGAGGAGGACACAGTGACCGTTACAATAAAATAAAAAATAAAAATAAAAATTCACCTCAAATCAAATTTTTGTGCAAGGCTCATGGTTTCTAGTTGTGGAGTTGACAAATTTCACAACTTCTTGAAAAAAATGTAGCTAAAAATGTGTGCTTTATTCTAGTGGCCGGACAAATCTGAGTGATTTAAGGTCTGCATGTTGCATAGTAAGAGGGTTTTATCTTGTTTGATGCGACGAGACCATTAGCTACTTACTTCTTGCAGTGTCCGCACCAGGGGGCAAAAAACTCCACCAGCCACACGTCGTCGCTGTTCAGGACGGTCTCGTCAAAGTTGTCGTCGGTGAGCTCCACCACGTCCTTCTTGCTGCCACCGCTACTCTGCTGGAAAGTAAGAGGAAAAACCTTTCATTTCCATCACTTCCATTAAGAGAGCAAATGCTTCAACGGGTTCCCAGTGGTTAACTTACCTGCTTGTTGTAGCTGGAGCCACCAGACTTTCCGCTCAGCCTCTCTTTGACGAGCGTTCTCAAAGCGTTCATTGCTCCATCGACGATCGCCTGACTACTGCGTCCTCCTGGTGGCATCAAAGATTTAGTCATGGCATTATGCATCTTTAAACGTGTGGTTATTAAATCAGCCACAAATCATTTTATGATAGCATCAAATAAAAAAAAAAAAATCAAAACAAAACAAAATGCACTTCTAATACTCACCTTGGTATTCCTCTGGTTTATTTTTATTTGCTCCAAAGACCTTGATGGTGGGGAACCCTCTGACGCCATATTGGCCTCCCAATGACTTGTGCTGGTCAGCATCTACTGCCCCAACCTTCACAATACCCTGAAAGATTGATATAGACACATTGGCTCTGTTTAGTGTAATTAGACTACATTTAGTCCAATTAAAAGCGTCAACGTTTGCATGACAAACGTGAACATTTTATGTGAATCTACATGGAGGATTTTTGTTAAACAAAGAAAGAAGTATTGACATAAAACAGCACTTAAGAATGAGCTGCAAGCCATAATCTTAGCTACATCTTTAGCATCCGTTAGTCTCTTTTGTAGGTGTATTACCATAGTAGAGTACATCGTTTCAACTGGAGTAAGCTGAGTTTTACATTTACGTTTTTGCTCTCTAGTGAAACCGTTTCCGTCAGAAGGTGTGCATAACCATTTATACCTGCAAATATAACCACCAGAAAACTTAACTGGAGCTTAGTCGATTCACCATTACCGAATCCAGCAGATAAAAACAAAGAGAATGGTTAATCTGTGCTGCAAACTGACAATTTCATTTTTTTAATTTGGCAGCATAACTTTACTTTTGCCACAGAATAACTTAATTGTTATTAACTTTTTTGTTTTTGAAGAAGGTTTCTGCTGCCGAGCCGTCATGAGGAGTGTGTTGTGGTATTAGAACGAAACATTTTTATTCTGCTGCAACAAGAAGCAGGTTTGGAGATTTTGAAACTTCAGATAAAAATATAATCACCCAGCCCCTTCTTTTTCCTCAACACATATCAGTATAACTCTACTTTTCTAGTCTGATCAAAATAAATGCAGAAGGAAGAAAAATGAGGTGCGACGGCTCCGTTTTTACCTTGAGGGCTGTTGCTGCTTTCTTCCACTCTGGAGCAAGATTTTGACAGTGGCCACACCTATGAGAAAAAAAATGGAAGAAAAGGAAAAAAAAAAAAGCAACAACAAATGATTGACCAAATGACCATAGATTTCTGCAATTAGAGACGCACAAACTGCATCAGCAAAAAGACTGGAATCAGACAAAGTTTTTTTTGGGTGAGCTCTAACAGCAGACACTGAATATCTGCTTATTCTTTTCATATTCAATAAATTCATCAAAACTAAACATTTTCCCCTCTGTATTTGTTACAGTCATAGACAAGCAAAATGAATAAAAAAAAATCCTTGAACTGCTCTGAGACTCATACATCAAAACACTGTAAAATCTGAATCTTCCTCAGTTTTTGTCTTTAATTGAGGGTCATAAGCTCTAAAACTTTTAATGCCAACAAAGGACAGAAATCAACTCAACAGTTATACTGCATTGTTCTTTCAGATGAAAAACGCAAACTTGTTCACCTCATCTTTTTGTGTGGGTTGTGCTCGTCACAGCTAAAAAGTGGAGAGCAAGTTTTGCATACAAGCCTCGTTTTGTTTTTGTGATTCATATGTAAATGCTTAAAAGGGAAGGAAATGCCTCAAAACAGGCGACTGTCACCCAACCACAAATCATTTCTTATAAAACTACTACTGCCGCATCATTACTGTGATCAGTGAATGCCTACATCTGTATGAACTCACCAGGGAGCATAGAACTCCACCAGCCACAGACTGTCACTCTGGATCACCTCCCTGTTGAAGTTGGACGGTGTGAGCTCAATAACATCATCACTGGAGGAATACATGGCTTGGACCGACAGGACCAGCGAGCAGCCCAGCATTCCTACAACACAAGGTAAACAACCAGAAGGTTCATCTCAGCGACTAGTTATGTTAAGTCAAATAAAATAAAACACCAACTACAGAAGGTTGCTAGAGGACAGCAGAGGACTGTTCATGCGGAGCTACAGATATGATTTTGAATCATTACATAAAATATAAAAGGCCTACTGCTGCACCGAAAGTTAGCCCGGCAAGCTAACAATAATAGCTAAAAACGCACTAAAATACTTAAAACACTAGCTCCTCCTCGTTACTAATGTAGCATAATAGTATTATAACATTCTCTAACTTACAACTCACCGAACAAAAGCGGACTCATGGTTTTAACTTCTCTCTGCTCGTCTCCTCGATTGAAACAACACACAGACTGCCGCCGCTGCTCACCCTCTCACAAAAGTCTATTGCAGACGAGGGGGAAAAAAATCTCACCGTGGCCCACGCTGATTGGTCCGTTATCAGAGACGGTGAGATTAGACCAATCAGCGTGCGCCGTGTAGTTTTCAGGAGAGACTCATGAAGGAAAGGAGGAGGATGGAAGCAGTATACTTTCGCTGCACCAGGATGTGTTAGATATGACTAGGCTGACTCATTCTTAAAATTTAATGACAGCAGAAAACTTTTCCCATTTTTTTACACATCAAACCCCAAAACTTTAGTGTATTTTGTTTGGATTTTAAATGACAGATTAACGTAAAGTAGAGCATAAATTTGAAGAGGGATAAAAATGACAGCAAATAATGTTCTGAATTTAGTGTCCATGTTTTAAGAGTACTGTGTGTTTAAGAGTTCATTTTAATTTGATAACACGAAATAAAATCACGTGAAACCAATTCAAATAGAGTTACCGAATAGAATCCATCTCTGATCATCTAATGAATGAACAAGCTTGTTCATTGATCATTTGTGAACAAACAACATCTTGAAGATCAAGCCAGGCAGGGAACACAGCAAGTATAAAGTTTCTGGCTATAATTGCATCAAAAGGTGTTCAACAAGGTGTGCAATGTTCAGATTATCTCCAAAAATGTGTGAAAGCAGTCCATCTTCTTGCACTTTACAATTAAGCACTGCTTTTCCTAATCACATAAACAATAACATATTTTGTTTACTTACTTTAAGGAGACATTAATGAAAATTTTTTCAAGTCACACGGGACAAATTTAAGTTAATAGATGTTTCTGATTGTAATAACCTTTCTTTAAAAAAAAACCCAAACAAACAAAAAACAATACAATCTCTCTTAAATTAAAAATAATTATCCAAAAATAATATTTTCAACTACATTTATTCCACATTGATAAACAGAAAAATAACTGAAAACACAGCATTTAAATTAAGGTAAAACATATCCATAAATTCATCAGTTTTTTTTTTTTTCCTGAACTGTTTAGCTCTTGAAACCCACAACTTTCACACACATGTAGTTTCTCTTTAAAAAACAATTTCAAAACAATAAATGTTAAACAAACAAAAAAGGGGAAAAATATTCCACGAAAGCACAAAAAGCACACTATTAAGTGATGAGTAAAACAGATCAGATTGATTGGTTGTGATTAGTGCAACAAAAGATGAGCTGCTTTGGAACGATGTGACCACTAGATGGAGACAAAGTCCAATACTCACTGTACCCAAGTCTTAATTCAACTAGTAAAAAAGTGTTCATTTGTAAAATATACAGTTTGATAAATAAATAAATAAATAAATAAATAGTTATTTGTCACTATTTTTGTAACCACTGTAATCCGTTCTTTTCTCAGACACAGTCACAAATGTATTATTCATAGCATGTGTATGTGTGTGTGTGTGTGGTATTTGTGTTTGTTATTCGTGTTATTTGTCTGAAATAAATGATTCATCCATTCACTCACGTCCTTCTTATGAGCTTTACATTAATTTATCAGATCAGCTGTCAGTTCATCATTGTCGTGTTAAAGGCCAAATGACTCACTGGTCTGCGTTACTGGTAAAAAAAAAATATCCCTACTGTAAAAGCTCTTCATCTTCATAGTGCTGTTAGAACTGTTGCTGAGAAGCTTTCAGTTAGAGTTTCATGATGACGAACCCAGTATGGATGACAGGACGGCCACATTTTGGTCTGACAGAGCAAGTCTTGTGGATATTTCATCTCAACAGGTTGCTCTCGTGTTGCGATGGAAAGCTGCAGTTCTCATCTGCAATTTCGTCAAGCTAACACCTCACAATGCTTCCCATGAAGCGCGGAAAATTGCGATCCGCAGCGCCTGGCTGCACTGCGCCGCGTCCGGACAGTAAACAGCAAAACACGCAGCAATCGTGTCACAACCGGAAGTTGAGAAATCATCTTTAGAAATAAATGTGGGTGGGTGGACATGTCGACTTCTGAGTCGACTTCAAATGTTTATAATTTCGATGTTAAAAGTGATAAGTTTGAGAAAAGAGAAGTCCAAATTTCGATATAGACAGTAATTATTTTGGCTTTAAAGTTTGGATTATGTCTTGGAATTTCACAAGTTAGGAGAGCCAGAGAACCCTTCTTATCTTTTGAGTGTTTTATTTTTGAAATCCCGGCCGGAAGTTTGGATTTCAATCACTCTGAATTGACAACAGGCGCACTTCAATGCCAACTTTTGCAGCGCGCACAGGCGCACTGTTGTCTGCCAAACAAGGCTGCATGGAACTGACAGGACTTCATGCTGCAGTCAGGTCGAAGAAAACAGATTTTCTCTTTCATAACTAATATATACACATATACATTTAATCTAGAGGAATCTAGCGGCTACATAAAGCGCGCCAGGGCGCCTGGTGACATTTTCTGTGGAGATCTCATTCAGTTTCGAAGCGGGGCAATCTTCGGAATAATGTGGGGAATCCAGAGAAGTCGGTACGCGGACTGCAACGGCTCTGAAGCGAGTGAAGAGGCGGAGATCGTGGTGAACATCGGCGGAGTGAAACAGGTGTTGTATGGCGACGTGTTGAATCGGTTCCCGGAGACTCGACTGGCAGAGCTGGTGGACTGTTCTCTGAAGTCTCCCGAAGAGATATCCTCATTGTGTGACGATTATGACCCAGACACCGGGGAATTTTATTTTGACAGGGACCCCGAGGCATTCAAGTGTATAGTGGAGCTGTATTATTACGGAGAGGTACACATGAAAAGGGGCATCTGCCCGATTTGTTTCATGAAGGAGATGGACTTCTGGAAAATCGGCGCAGATTTTCTGGATGAATGCTGCAAAAGCCACCTTAAAGAGGTCCAGGATGAACTTGCGGAGATCGCAGAGAGAGTGAGAACTATCTTGGTGGACAGAGAGGGAGACCCGTCGGCAGGAGGCTGCCAGCGCTTCCAGGCGTCGCTCTGGAGGCTGATGGAGAAGCCGGAGTCCTCAGTGCCTGCGCACGTCATTGCCATACTTTCTTTCATCTTCATCCTCGTCTCCTCCGTGGTGATGTGCGTCGGGACAATCCCCGAGCTTCAGGTGGAGGACTCCGAAGGCAACCTCACTGAGCACCCGACTCTGGAGGTCATCGAGACGGTGTGCATCGGTTGGTTCACCATCGAATACCTCCTGCGTCTGATCTCCTCTCCAAACAAGCTCAAATTCGTCTTGTCCTTCATGAACATCATCGACTTCATGGCGATCATGCCCTTCTTCGTGGTGCTGATTCTGACCTCCTTCGGCGCCGGAGTGATGGAGCTGGCCAACGTGCAGCAGGCGGTGCAGGCTTTGCGCATAATGCGCATTGCGCGCATCTTCAAGCTGGCGCGCCATTCGTCCGGTCTCCAGACGCTCACATCTGCGCTGAAGAGCAGCCTGAAAGAGCTGGGTCTGCTCCTCATGTACATGGGGGTGGGGGTGTTCCTCTTCTCAGCGCTGGGCTACACCATGGAGCAGAACCACCCGGACACGCTATTTACCAGCATCCCGCAGTCGTTCTGGTGGGCTGTGATCACCATGACCACTGTGGGCTACGGGGACGTGTACCCTAAGACCACTTTAGGCCGGTGTAACGCGGCCATCAGCTTTCTGTGCGGGGTCATCGCCATAGCGCTGCCCATACACCCCATCATTAACAACTTTGTGCTGTTTTACAACAAGCAACAGGTGCTGGAGACCGCAGCCAAGCATGAGATTGAACTGATGGCGCTGCGCTCCACTGAAGGCGAACTGAGGGCTGCGCCCGAGCATCATGAACATGTTTGCGGTACCCGGGTTTGGGACTCCTCCATGAGCTCCTGTCACAGCGATACGTTCCTACCTCTGCTGAAGGACACCAGCAGGGGAGGGCCGAGTATGCAGACCCCGAGCATGGAGACTAGCTTTGAGAGCACAGCAGAAGCCTCAGAATATTTCATCTCATGAATTTGGAAAAAAAAAAAAAACTGTCTTATCTGATAAGAAAAAAAAAAAATCTCCACAAGATGATCTAATCACTATTTTTTTGAAGTTCTATAAATGTAAGGGAGATTGGTTAAGGATTTGAAAACATCCCCGCTCTCAACATAAGATTAAACAGAAAAATGCATTAGCTTTGGACTTGATAAACTCACAGTGAACCCAGATTTGCATATGGCCGCCATTTGAACAGCCATATAGGCATCTTACTTCAGCCAACATTTATGTATGCTGCCTAAATAGTTAGAATATTACCTGATAAAGGGGGTCCCAGTAAGTATGCAGGTCACATTAGGCTCAACAACAACATTATTTGCAACTGAGGGGTTATGGCCGTTTTTTCTGTCCTGGCAGCAAAAATTTCCATGTGGGACCACAGGTGTTGGGAAAAGTAATATTTACAAGGCCTTTTCAAAGTCAATGTGTTTTTGCTGAGTCATATTATTATTACATTTGTTTTCATGTTGGAAATATGAAAGTAAACATTTACACATTGGACTCATTATGCATATGCATAAGGCTGTAGGAAATGGGCTGAAATTATTCCCCACATGTGTTTTGCCGCAGCTTGAATAATTGCCCCATGTTATTTGCCTGTACTTTGCCTATTGCAGGGAATCCATGTTTCCTGAAAGGTTTTCCCTATGCCGGCATCTCATGCCAGCTGCCATTTACATATGTGGCCCAAAAGGGTTGGAAATATTGAAGCTTTTGCTCAGTTGCAGTTGATTCACTGTGAAAAGAAAATGTAACTTTGCCTTTTTCAGTAAGTCCCTATTTAAAGAAGGTTTTTCTTTGAAAAGCCGCTGCATCTTATCAAAGTTAACATTTACACATAATGCCAGTAAGCTATGGGGTTTAAAATGGGCCTCAGCTGTGCTAAATGCCCCCATGTTATTTGCCTATATGCCAGTCCTTTGATAGATAGCAGTGGGTTTATGTTTGTTTAGCTGTTCTGTTCCAGCAGTCAGTTTTTCTCTCTTAGTCATGTCATGAGTGAGTGCCAATATTTAAGAAATGGGGGCCATTTTGATAGGGCAAGGGTTGAAAATAGGCCCTACATGGGAATGTATGCAGGTTATACGTTGTATGTTTGCTCTTATTTGATGTAACTCAAATCCGAGTACAAAGATTACCCATATTTATCCACTTCATCTATTTTGAATGTATGAGACCCCACAAGGACATTTTTAGGATCTCCTTCTGGTTTTGCTGAAATGAGGTTCATCTAGTAAACCCAAATTGGACCCATACATGAAGCACATTGTGAGCTCACACCCACCTACTACAGTAGCCATCAAGTCTGAGCAAAATCCACAAACACATACTGGCTGTGATTTAACACTCCCATACAACTAAATTTCACTTATACTGTAGATTGGTTTGTAGCTTTTTTTTTTTTTTTTTTCCCATGTGAGGCAGCTTGTTCAGGAGAAAATAAAAAAAAAAGTCAAATACATCATGATAACTGTATAAGCATAACAAAAAAGAAAAATCTGATTGTACTGTGAGCTTGTGATTTAATTATGTACATTTCACTGGAGTTGCTGGAAGCATGGATTTGGAGATGCAAGCCCTCAAGGACTCTTATATGTTGTTTATCACCCGTGATTTACATCAACGTGGTTATTGTTTCTGTGTCAGTGTAGGGTGAAATCAGATGAAAAATGCACAAGAGTTTTTGAAGCAGCTGCATCATTTGCCTGACTTTTTGTTAAGCAGGTTTTAGGGGCTTCAAATGTTCCTCTTCCTCCAGGGTTTGTTCCATGTTGCCATCTTTCTGCTGATGAAAGAAGCAAAAATCGGGAGGTGGAGAAATCCCAAAACACATGACTGTGCTCCAACAAAATCATCAGTAAAAAGAAACATGAAAAAAAAAACCAACAACGAGGAGTTGTGTGGAATATGTATTTTATTGTGATTAAAGTTGAATGCAGCATTTTTATGCTTCATGCCCCAGATTTCTAAATTATCCTGACAGGTGCCATTTTTAAAAGGAAATATTTCACAGTTTTGAAATGCCTCAACTCCTACACTGACAAGTCTGAATGATGTTGACTTTGCCACACAAATAGAACAGTCACTTTAACAGTTAGCTGGCACAGCAGGGATACTGCAATGCCCGACATGTCACGGCATGATTCAAGCAAAGTCTGTACATTTTTGCAGAGTTTTTTTTTTTTTTTTGTGACATTAGGGTCATTAAATCAGTAAATTAACAATCTTTCCACAGGAAAAATGAACAGAAAGAAGAAGGAGAAGAGAAAAAACGCAATCGATGAGGACTTAAGAGGCCTGATTGTAGGTAGACTGATGAGTTGATTTGTTATTTTAAAGCAGCTGAATTTGGAGTAAGTTCACAAATATGTGCTGGTTAACTATTTTCTTTTTTATATTAAGAACATTTTATTCAGTGGTTGCCCAGTGAATTACTTGTCAGAGTCAAACATTGGTTAGTTTCAGTGACTATTTGGTGAATCACACACAAAAAAAAGATTCCTATAAACAAATAAATATATGCATATAGTTGAAGCTCTATGGATTCTTTTCAAGAAATGATACACTGACATGATCAATATGTGTGCACAAAAATGGCACAATAACACTGCTTAACATTTTTAGTGGGATTGCCATCAATTTTCTTAAAGACATTTTAATAATTGTTCATTCAAAAAAGATTAGACATAAGTGCATCTGGGAATGTCATAATGTACCGTATTTTTCGGACTATAAGCCGCTACTTTTTTTCCCACACTTTGGGAAAAAATAGCCCGGTGCGGCTTTTCTGTGGATTTTTCTTCAACTGCCAGGGGCCTCTTTAGCAGAAAGTGAATCATTGGAAGTTAAAATTGGAAATCAAAGAAGAAACCGCTGATTTTCATTTAGAACAAGCACATGCTAGCAGCAGGCGCGACTGAGAAATGTTTTCACACTCATATCCCCTCATCATGGAAACAACACGAAGAAGTTCATATGATGCCGCTTTTAAGTTGAAGGCTACCAATGTGGAAGTACAGATCGATAGCTGCTGCACGTAAGGTTGGCGTGAACGAATCCCTGGTTCGGCTTTGGAGACGAAGGGCTGCGTCCTTAATAGCAGATTTATTAAGAAAACCGAGGGCGGCGGAGATACCAGCGGCTTTTTGCCAGATGTGGCTTATAAATGTACGTTTCGGTAAATATATACAAAAATAATTGATCGGCTATCTATCTATCTATCTATCTATCTATCTATCTATCTATCTATCTATCTATCTATCTATCTATCTATCTATCTATCTATCTATCTATCTACTGCTGATCTTAGCTTTCTTGACTTTTTATTTTATCTGTGGTCTAATGCATCCAGTTGAATAATTATTTCTTCACAAGAATTACATTAAAATAACTTTAGTTTCTTTGAGAAAAATCGCTGCCTTTCAAGTGTTAAAAATGTAGCATCACAGGCACATACATGACAATGGTGAACCCCCCCAAGCCAACAACTAAAGTAGATAACATGTTTAAGATCAATTTATTATTATTTAGAGAATAAGATGCAGGACATTACTGCTCTACCAGTGACGAGGTTTGTGAATATGTCACTTCTACAACATGTCAATTTGGAAAAGAGAAACTTCTCCACCACCTCCTCCTCTGTGATGTTCTCAACTGAGCTCTAAGTCTTCTGTTCTGCAGCCTGAAAGCGAGAACATGAAGGTGGTCAGGAGGGAAGGGGACTGTTCAGACTGTCCACCCACTCACATCTTTTACTCCACAGCTATCTCCTCTGGCCAGCAGCAGATTCACACATGTCAAAGCCAGAGAAGAGGGCCTTTGTTGGCGCTGACAGGTGAAGGGAGGAATGTGAAAAGCATCCATTGTGCAACGGCACAATGCTCCCCTCACAGCAGATGCACATGCAAATACACACGTGTACCGTCAAGTTCAAATTTAGATCCACAATCGCATGTGTGTCCAAACATCACTCCTCTCCTGTCCGCCGCCTACCCACATCAGCAGACAAATGATTGCACTCACCCAAATCCAGCCCTGTTTCGTCTTTACACTTGCAGTCACGTGTGATGTGCTCTGCAGTGACCTGCCGTGATCTGCCAGCTATTCACAAGTTTTAACACCCACATGTTGCTCGTTCGTTGCATTCTGTGGGTGTTTGAGACAAGCAACAACAGATAAAAATGCTCATTATCCCCTCACCAAAAAACAGATATATTAACTTAACCAACCAACAGCTTTCCTCTTGAAAACAGCTGATTTAAAATGAAGCTTGTCTAAACTAAAATCTAGAAGAGACTCCAATCATTTTTAGCATCTCTGTTGGCATAAATGGAGTCATTATGGCCCCTTTTCTGAATTACTTTATTATATTCTGATGTTTAATGTGATACTTTTCTTCACAATGGGTAAAACTGCCATGCCAGTAAATAATTGTTTTTAATAAAGTCACTTTTATGCCATAATTATTCCCACTTTGCTATTGCTTCTTGCAACCCTGTACCTGCCATGACAGCACTTCTTTGTCCCCTATTGAACTTCACAAGGTTGGAGAATACATTAAAAATGTCTCGGTATTTCAAATAGCAAACGACGCTATGTGATTATAATGTTCCCGAGGCCCACAGTAGCACAGTTCCTCTACCATGCTTAACACTGGCCGAGGAGCTTGTCCACAAATTTATTGTTTGATTCACGTAAAACAAAACTACGTGCTGGTTGCTATAAAGCTCAGCCTTGGTCTCATCTGACTTTGATTGTCAGCTGTCTTGGCAAAAATATTTAAAGGTGAAAGAAAACATCTAGTTGTGAGCTTGATCCAATGATGCTGTCCATCAGAGTGGGAGACCCACAGCCAAAGACAACCTGAGACAAATATGTTCCCTAACATGACCTTGCAGCAGTGATTTCTGGGAAAATTGTTCAGGACTGCTGCTGCAGAAGTGTAGATTCTTGTGCTCTCTTGGCCAGCCACAGGAGCTTCCACTGCTGTCTGCCTCCTTCCTCTATCCCTGTTTTCAGCATCCGACTCTAATAATAAACACGTCAACACTTGGAACCTGCTGTCAGATTAATCGATGGACTGATATGTCTGTTAGATCTGTCGGACAACATTTTGCTGAGGCAACAAGTCATACTGATTGACATCTTCTGTTGCGGAGTGTCACAGAAGTTGTGAGACGTTCCAGGTCTGTATGAATTTTTAGAATCGTTATGCAATTATTTGCGAGACTTAAAGGTTGCAGTTTTACACCGACAATGAGCTAAAGAATGGGTGAAAAACAGGAGCATCTGGAAAAGACTGACTGAAATAAGGTGGTTATACTGAAGGGAGGAAAATACTGTAAAGCAAAACAGGCTTAGCGAATAACAATAGATTGTGGCAGCATGAAGCTGGACTGAACTACACCAACTGACTCTGCAGGAAATGGGGAAACTAATTAAACACAAGTAAGTGCCATAAAAACAAAGTTAAATCTAAAACACATAACTCCAAACATAATAATCAGAACATTGAACTGAGAGTTTTCACTAAGTTTTCCACCTTTCTCTAACAGTTAACAATGAGTTAAAGGTAAAGGTCATTTTATCTAGATAGCACATTTTCAGCAACAAGGCAGTTCAGAGTGCTTATGAGTAACATAAAAATGTTGCATGAGTCCAAAAAGAGATGAGCTGCATGTACTTTTCAAGGTTTTGTGTTAAAAAAAAAATCAAAAACAATAATTTCTCAATGTGAGTTGAGTAAGTGAATAAGTTTGCTCAACTTAAAGGTTTACATAATTGTTTTCAGCACAAGATTATACACGTGGTCCTAAAAAGGCAGTTTGAGAAGCAAATAACACAGGCACCTAATTTGTATAGATTTATGACTATTATTGTTATATCTTGCAATAATTCCAGCAAAAAATACACAGAATTATTCCGATCCCCCGGCTTTTTCATAGCTCTCAATGGGTTCCTGACTCCCTGCTTTAAACATCTATTTTAGTGCTTACTGTCAGTGTTTACATTAGCCCGCCTCAGATTTTCATCAACAGCTGCATGCAGAGAAGGCTGATAGCAGTCATCTGCAGTGCATGCATGTCATGTTTGTTCAGTTCGACGCCGCCGTGGGAACAATCCCGCGTTACCGCCCGGCGTCAAGCCCGTGTGATTCTGTACATAAACACTCAGGCCGAACCTTTTGTACGCTTTCAGAGCAGATTTACTGTGCGCTCCAAGCAGATGGAGGGGGTGTCACCAGGAGAGCTGGTGTTGGTCAGCTTTCAGGAAATCAGTGCGACTCCTGAAATGTCACGTTATGTCCAGTCGAGCCTCGGGGCTGATTGTTGAGTGTTGACGTGGCCGGTTTTGAGTGTCACCCAACAGTTTCGATGACAGCGCGGAAGCACAGACTTGTCTCCCTCTTCCCTTCTCCCTCGACCTTTTAGTAGGGGGAGATTGTCAACACCTGTTCCCCTTCTAAAAATAGGGAAACCCCTGTGCACAAATGAACGGACACAGACAAACTCAGACAAATCATGTTGCAGAGTGGTACTCTTTTTTTTTTTTTGCCGTAGGGGAAAGACTCATCTCACCAGTTTATTTCAACAAACTTGAATTTTATCA